TACGTACTTTACGTCTGAACAACTTATGTGAAGGTGGTTTCCTATTTGTAGTGATGTTTGCCCTGTGAAGATGGTCCGCAGAGACCGAAACATGTAAGGGTGTTAAGTGTTTCATGTAGTAATAAACTTACAGGTCACATTGGACGGAGTGATTTATATTTGTAACATACTACAATCTTCTCCACTAAACCCCAAACACACACTCAATAACCGATGAATCTCATTTTGCAATCCAGTGAGACCAATCAGCATGAATCCGCTGATCCAACTCAATGATCCGATTGATGATGTGAAATTTGATCAAACCCCGATGAATTCAAACCTTTTCCACCCTTACCTCGACCAGTCATATCCGTCAACCAAACACATGACTTTTGTTTTTACTTGACAACCCAACTGAATGGCCTGATCTGATGATGATCCTCAATTCCAATGCGAAAACAGGCAATATTTATACATCGTTTGCAGACTGGTTGTCTGGACACCAAGACAAGCACTATCCAATCAGCGCTCACAATTGCAGGATATTTATACTCGTACATCGCTTGCAGCATGGTTCCCTAGACACTAACAAAAGCAGTATCCAATCTGCGCTCATAATCGCAGCTTAATCACCAACTGGTCCGCGCGCCTCCTAGCACCCTAGGTATAAAGCTGAGGGCCTCGGACACACAAGCATCAGATCAGATCAGTGATCGATCAGAATTCACGAGGATTCAGACTGACTGTTCATAGGAGTAGTCTCGTTTGAGTCATTGTGATTTTATTCGGTGTGGGTTCGAGAGACAATTGGGCCGTCCAGTGTGGGTCCAGGAATCATCAGTCATCAGTTGAAGATCAGTTGGTTGGAGCGAGTAAGCGAGCGGTTATTGGCGCTTAAAGGATAATAGTTTGGACAAGTCTGAAGCACTGCCGTGCTTCGGCCAGCTGGCCTTAGGCATGGCGTTGGTGGTGCCCAATCAGTACGATTATGTTTCGTGCTTGCTTCTTTTGACAAGCTGCACGAAAAACTACTAGCCAACAATCCCGACGCAACGGAGGAGATCAACTTAGTTCGGATGGGGCTCATGAAAATAGGACAGCTCATCCAGACTTCTCCGTAGGAAAATGGCAACGGAGATATTTGGAAACGCCTGGTAGAAAAAGCAGAGACTGAAATGACTATTATGTAAACATCTGGACTGGAAGGCCCTGTTCACTGGAATACTGCGACTCTAGGGAGTTGATGGGGTCTCCTGCCGGAACCTGCTCAACGAATAGAGGATGTGCCCCACACCAGACGTCGAAAGAGAATCAGTGACTCTGACGACGGCAACAGCACCACCAAGAAGGAGGAGAAGTAGGCAAAGGAAAGATCTAAACCACTCCCGCGGCTGGTAGTAACAAAGAATTTCTTTGCCCCGCTCAGGTCCGTACCCATGGACGGTTCAGAAGTAAGCGGTGAAGGACCATCGACAGAAAACACTGACAAAGGCAGACCACCACCTATAATCCTAACTTCTGAAGCTAACCTCCTTAGCCCTCAGAAAGAACTGAAAGCTGTTGTGATAGGGGAATTCTTCTTCTGGAACACTACATCCGGTACCCGGATCACAACCAAAAGCATGGCAGATTATAAAGCCACGCAAACCTACTAAGTCAAAAAGGTCTCCCATTCTCTACCTTTTACACAAAAGGAGACAAACCTATGAAAACTGTCATCAGACATCTGCCGAGTAACACGTCGTCAGAAGACATCACGGTGGCCCTCCATGAGCTGGGCTACAAAGTCATCAGCGCCAAGTAGATGACAGCTAAACGCCCTTCTCCGACAGGAGGAGACACCTTCATATCCCTTCCCTCTTCCTTGTCACCTGGGCGAGAGACCAAAAATCCCAGGAAGTCTTCAAAATCACCAACCTCTGCAACATAATTGTCAAGGTAGAAACAGCCTCCTAGATGCCTAAGGTGTGGGGGTGGTAACCGCCACCGTAAATGCCTGGAAAAGGAGAATGCCGAGAGTATCCCAAGCTTCTGCAACTGTGAGCTTAAAGATGGGGAATCACTCCATCCAACCAACTACAGGGGCTGCAGTCATGTGAAGAAGGAGCAGTGGCGAGGGAAGAACCAACGCATGACGAACCAGGGGTCATCAGGAAGAACGTTCTTTTCCAAATACGCAACGGCTGAGCGGACGTTCTCTGTTCTACATAGCTCCATGGAAGCGAGGCAGCCCTCCGCTCAGCAGAAAGAGCCTACAGGTCCCCAGAATAAACAAGTCACCAACAAGGCTTCAGGTCAGTCAGTGCAGGCAAAAATTGTAATAATAATGCAACGGACGATAAGTTCGTTGCCTTCACTATTGTGCAGCAGAAGAAGAAAAAGTTGCAGTTATCACCAAGGCTGCTCTTAGTCTACTGAATCGTAATGGTGGTAACAGTTCATAGGCCTCTGAAAGTTGTAGTGTTAAATGCCAACGGCATTGGGAGACAGGCCTATGAGCTACGAAAAGAGACGTAAGACTTAAATAACAGATATAAAGCAGGGTTTGAAATATTTCAACGAAATTTATGAAATT